ATTCAGCAGTAGAGAAATTTGCACCATCTGACCCCGAACTCAAATTTTCTGCCATTCCAGAGATTAGCCTGTACTTTTTCTCTCATGCAGTTCCCTTTGCCTGGAACACCCTCTCTTCCCTCCACCATCTGTTGAGTTTCTCATCTTCCACCAAGGCCAGGCTCCAGAGTTTACCTTCTCCAAGAAGCCTTTCTTGACTTTTGCACGAGAACGGCTACCTTCCCCAGCCCATGGAGCCGCCACCGTTTCGGACACAGCTCTGCGAGGACACTTGCCCTTGGCATTTGAAAATTATTTATTTGTGTGTGTCTCCCCCTAACCAGGCTTGGAGGCCCTCCTATTCATCACAGCCTAATCCGTACACAATGCTTAGCATATAGATGGTGTTGACAAATGGTGGAAGAAGTAGAGTCCTATTTAGGGCAGAATGACTTGTACCAGACCCGAAACTCGTTGATTCACTCGGGACATACTTTGTTGTTTTGTTCAGAGGGTGGAAAGCGCCACTGAGCTTACAAAGCTGCCTAGCCAGACTAGAGCAGCGGTCTGACAGGGAGTGGGAGTGAGCATTGATTTTGGACCAGGGAGCTGAGATTGGCTTTTGTTCTTTTCTTTCTAGGTCATTTACTAGTGCCACCCAATCCATTGCCCCTTTAGACCAAGTCAGAGGGGGAGAGGAGGAGAGGCAGTGCAGGAAGGGGAAGGGTGGGTTACACAGATGTAGTTTCACCGGGCTGGAGGGACTGTGCCCCTTTCTCACAACACTAGCTGGTGGGCCAGGATGGACTATTCCACTGAGATGGGGTACTTGGAAAAAGGACAGACAGTGCTCACGCACTCCACCAAACTTCAGGGGGATGCGCGAATGACAAGGTAAACGGCATCATATGGGAAGGGGTGAAGGAGACATTCAGGAGGCCACAGGAGGGAGAGGGAGAAGACCTGAAGATACCAGGGCTGGCAAGGGTTACGGAAATCACATTGCTTCTATCCTAGCTGCTTACTTGTGCATCTTGTCCTACCCTGTTTTAAATCTGATGACAGATATTTTCAATATTTCTACCTTTACGGAACACTGAATCCCATAGGCAGGCCACCGGTTGAGTATTAAATCGCCTTTAAATTGAACTAAGCTATTTCTAAGATTAGTTGTGTGTTGCAAACTACCCAGTTGGGGGCAGACAAAACAAACAGATGACTTCTGAATGCTACCAAAGGAATCCTGCATTTCTTTGTGTGTTGTTATTTTAATAAGGAAAGGGCTTTTCAACTCATAATCAGATTCAGACAGCTTGCTCCCAACCTCCAGGGAGGGAAAGCTACAATAGGGTTCCTTTGCAATTATCATATTTTTACCCGAGGAGGATGGAGCTTGGGCATGGGTGTGAGGGGTGTCGGAGGCACATAGATTTTTCCGGACAATGTGAAAGGCTGTGCAGAACATATCGAGAAATTTATAGAGGTACTAACCCTCCATCAAACCAAGCCTTCCTAATAACATCAGATTGCGGGGGCCAGGGCATGGGCAAGAGATGATCTTAATCCCTGAGTCTCCCCTCTCCCTAAGAGGGTTTACAATGCCTACTGGAGGGAGTTAAAGGAAATCAGACACTCTCCTGTTGTTTTGACTCGGACTCCAAGGCTCTAGTTTGCAAGAGATGAGAAGCACCATGGGACAGGCTGTGTTTCCAACACTCAAACGAGCCTTGCCCGGCCACCACTTAATCAAGCCTGCAAGCTATGTAGTTTTTCTTACTATCTTTTCTTTTCTTTTGGGCTTAGCAACAAGTTCAGAAAGTGATCCAAACAAAGTGCCAAATCTGGGTGGCCGGCCAAGAACCCCTTCATCAATTTCATTTTTCTGTGGAGGAATCGACCCCATAGAGCCCTCCCCAGTAGGACAGTAGGGAATGGGTCCCACGAGAGCCCCAGACAGAAGCCATGGCAGCAGGCCCTTGATCAAGTAGCGCCTCCTACTTACTCATAAATGTGTGTAGGTTGGCAGGGTTGTCTCAAAATGGGACTGGGCTGGTGTGTTTCATTTGAACAAGCTTTACATGTGATGCTGTGACTAATTCATATACCGCTTCTTCCAGGGAGGCCCACTATATCTCCCTAGGCAGAGGCTCTCACTTTTCCTGTAGGCTGCCTCTAGGGATAGACTCTGGACACTCCTTTGCACTTATAAAACTATTTTGAAAGTATTTGCATTTAAGTCTATTTCCACGTTAGACTGCTTTGGAGAGTTGAGCCTCTGTCTTGAGTTTTGATGCCCAGTACACATTCTGGCCCATGACAGGTATTTCCTAAATGCCTGCTGAGTTGAATAAAGCAATATATATAAAAATACATATTACTGTATAATGTTATACAAATATATTACATTTATAACATATAAATGTAATTTATAATTTAAACATTCCATTTGTTAATTTTATTTAAAAATATTTTTTAAGATTTTATTTTTAAGTAATCTCTATACCCAGTGTGGGGTTCAAACTTACAATCCCAAGATCAAGAATTACATGCTCCGCTGACTGAGCCAGCCAGATGCCCTCTTATTAATTTTAAATGAATAATTATGTAGTATAATATCATATGATACATTTATATTATATTTTATTTTGTAGGTTATTTATAAATAATATAATTATAAATTATATAATTATATAAAATAATCATAAATTAATAACAATAATTGTATAAGATATTGATTCTTCATTAATTATTGTGATATTGATATGTAATATGATATATTATATATTGTAATAATACAATATAAATATGATTTATTCACTTCAGTACCATACGCAAGGGGTTTCCCCTAGTTAAAGATCAATGACTGAGGTTAATTTCTCAGGTGGTCTGGGCAAAATGTGAAAGCAATTGAGAACAACAGAAAAGGCTGTCAAAGGAAAGCCAAAGGTTAAAGAAGGTTTAGAGAAATGACCAAATTTTGTCTTCCCAGAATGACAAAAACTTCCTAAAATTCCCCTATGCTATAGGGAAATGGTTCTCAAATATTTCGGTGCCAGGACCCCTGTGGTGGTTTATAAATTTGTCCACAAATTCTTTGATACTCCCTCCTTCAAGAGGTGGAGTTTAATTTCCCTCCCCTTGAGTGTGGACTAGAACTGGGAACTCACTTCTAACAAACAGATACTAGAATTGACAGTACGTCACTTCCCAGACTAGGTCGGAAAAGACATCACAACTTGCTCCTTGCTCTTCCATGGATCTTTATTCTGGGGAAGCCAGCAGCCATGTTGCGGGGACACTCACGAGGTTCATGCGGTGAGGGACTGAGGCCTCCTTTCAACAACCAGCACTAGCTTGCTAAGTGAGCCACTTGGAAAGTAGATCTGCACTTCCTATGACTGCAGCCCCAGAAACTGACCAAACTGACAACCACCCAGTCAAGCTGTGCTCGAATTCCTGACAGAAACTGTGATAATAAATGTTAGTTGCTCTAAATCACTACATTTTGGGGAAATTTGTTATGTAGCACTGGATAACGAATACAACCCCTCTATACTCCTAAAAATGATGGAGGGCCCCAAAGAGCTTTTGTTGGTACGATATATATTTTTAGATACTTACTGCTTTAGAAAGTGAAACTCGGGGGGGAAATATTTATTTATTTATTAATTTTAAACTAATAATGAGCCATTATGTGTTAACATAAGTACTATTTTTATGAAAAAAATAGCGAGAAACGGATATTGGTTTTGTCTTTTTACAAAATATGTTTAGCCTGGCTTAATAGGAGACATCTGAATTCTCCCATTGGCTTCTGCATTCAATCTGCTGCAATGTGTTGTTTTGGTTAAAGTATATAAACAAAACCCAGGTTCACATGGATAAGCAGTTAGCAAAAGGAGCATCTCAGACTCCCTGGAAAGAGTTTCTGTGACTTCCTGGGTCTCTGAGTCACACTTTAAAACTGTTGCTACAGGGAAATTAGACATCCATGTGGTTGGAAGTCAACAAAAGAGAACATGGGACTTCCTGAAATGCTTCCTTGGAGGACTATCTCTCATGCAGCCTTACTGCCTTCTCTCACTCCAAGCTGGCTCATATATGACTAAGAGTTATCACTTTAAAACCTCCTGTAGTAAATGGATATGAATGGCTTCATTTAGCCTACATTTGAGATGTTGCTGATTTCATCTCTTAATTTTCCATCTGAAGGCCAGTCTCTCCCAAGTCCCTCAAAGTCATCAGGAAGCAGAGCTCATGTCTGGCTATTCTTTGAGCCAGTGGCAGGCTTGGGGACATGTGCAGTCCTTTTGGGAAGGCACCTCTCCTAGACTTGTGTTGGGATTCCCATCCAATGTCCACCCCTTATTTGTAACCATGAAGCTAGAACAGGGAAAGAGGTCATCTGGATGAGGGGAGGAGGAAAGAAGAGAATCAGAAACAAACTTTGATTTAGTCCCTTGACTGCTGTCTTAAGAAACAGAAACTGAATCCTTCATTTTGTATACTGACAAGAGTGTATAGAATGTGCGGTATGTTTATGCACATGAGGGTGTCTTGCCAGTTTCTCTCTGGTGAACTTGACCTTGACTCACTGGTAATAATGAGAAAACCACAAGCGAAGCCATAAAATTGTGAGGCCAGATTATAAGCAGAAAACGTTCTGTTTAATCAACAAATATCTTGGGGGCACCTGGGTGGCTCAGTCATTAAGCGGCTGCCTTTGGCTCAGGTCATGATCCCAGGGACCTGGGATCAAGCCCCACATCGGACTCCCTGTTCAGGGAGTGCTGTGCTGGATATTTACATAGGGTAACTTTACATTTAAATATGGCTTAGATATAATGTGATATCTTTTTTCCTTAGCATTTACAAATGGTAGAATTAATTAATCAAACTCTGCTCAAAAGAACAAAATAATGTGTATTTAAGAAGCTTCACTCCAAAAGTTTTTCACCTTACAACACAAGTGTTAATTGTATGCTGAAAGAGAGGGAAAAAAAAAAAAAGAACCCTCTTACCTCCTTCGGCTGGATAAGGTTTCTTCATGTTCTACATGAGCAACTTTTAATACCTTCTTGTCAATAAACAGATCTTCAGGATAATAAGCAGATCTATACTGGCGTTGTTGAGAATGGGCGCATAACTTGCCAATCTGAAAAAGAAATGCAATATAATTATATGATACTTTCACAGATATGATAGTAGAAACAAATTCTAAAATGCACTTCCATTTCTTCCCCAATTTCTTTTTAAAGAGCAGAACGAAGCTATTACTGGAGTCCAAAAAAGGTGCTACGCTTTTCAGGCAAAGAGCCATCTGTGGAAAAGCAGGCTGAAGACTATGGCAGTGGAGACTTTGAGCCCAGCCTATTCAAAGGTTTCCTAAGATGAAAAATGCTTTTTCTTTATAGTGAACTGCACATTTGAGAGGACTTTCTATACAAGACTTAGGCTACTGATACCTGTCCACGGCCCTTAGTATTTATAAGAATGTAGAAGTTCACAAATAGGAATTACAAAGTTGAAAGTACCGGAGCGGGAGATGAAGAGGGGTGAGAGATGTGTAGAGTAGCCTGTTAACAGAGCAGCCTCCCATGCAGGGAGCTTGGTTCGAAGACCCAGGGTTGCATATTCTGAAAAATGTCAGTGTAATGGCTCATCTGACTTTCGTAAAAACGCCCGAGGGAAGGAAGAAGGGAAGCCAGCTGCTCCATAGCCAGTATCATCAGCTGTGAATCGCATATCATTGACCGAGACCAGGACCGAGAGTACTAAAGAACACAGGCGCTCAAGAAAGCCTACCTTCTCTCCTCCCTCGCTCTTCCCTTCCCTCTGCCCATCCTTCCTCTTTTGTTCCTTCCTTCCTTTCTCTCTCTTTTTTTTTTTGGACAGGAAGTTGGATTTATTGGTGGGCATGAATATGACGGGAAGGGGTAGTGCCAAGGTTCTCATGAGTGCAGAGGCCTCTATTTGTCCAAGGGACCACAGTTAGGGATGTATTTGACCCCACAGCCATCTGGGATAAGCTGCTTTTCAGCCACCATGTCTTCACATTCATCCCCATTGAACTTAGTAAAGCCCCACTTCTTGGAGGTGTGGATCTTCTGGCAGCCAGGGAACTTGAACTTGGCCCTGCGTAGGGCCTCAACCACATGCTCCTTGTTCTGCAGCTTGGTACGGATGAACATGATGACTTGGCCAATGTGGACCCTGGCTACTGTGCCCCCGGACCTTCCAAAGGCACCCCGCATACCTGTCTGCAGCCTACATTGGAGATAGCCATGAGGTCAGACCCCAGCATCCACCCAAAGGGCTGTCTCCAAGGTCCCTTAGGGCAACCCATACAATCAACAGGCTGCATCCACTACCGAGGAGGCTACTGTTCGCAGCCATGGCACACTGGGCCCCCCCTTCCTTCCTTTCTCTATCCACTCACTTGCTCTTTCGAAAGTAGTTGCTGGATGCCTCCCTCTAAAGCTTAGTTCTCTTAACACTCATATGGCAATGATTAAAAGATGGCATCAGCTTTCTTATTTCAATTCTAAGTGATTTGGTTTATTTGTAGATTTCTATTTTTGAGCTTTCAGACACAAGCTTAAAATGAACTTCTACATAAAGATGTATTAACACGTCTCCCTTATGCCAGACACTAAGCTAAATGTTATCATCCCCATTTTAGAGGTGAAGAAACTGAGGTTAGAGGAGGTTAAGGGTTGCCTGTGGCAAATACACCGTTGATTCACTGTCTGACTTCAAAGCTTACACAATATCACCTCCCTAGAAGACAATGCTTAATCACCAGTTGCTTATACTCTCTTTTTTAAAGGAACTCCCAGTTCTCAAAAACACAGCCAACATAGCCAAGGTGAATATATAGATTGTATACATTCAGAAAAATATTAGAGGGCACCTGGGTGGCTCAGTGGGTTAAAACCTCTGCCTTCGGCTCAGGTCATGATCTCAGGGTCCTGGGATCAAGCCCCGAGTCAGGCTCTCTGCTTGGCAGGGAGCCTGCTTCCCCCTCTCTCTCTGTCTGCCTCTCTGCCTACTTGTGATCTCTGTCTGTCAAATAAATAAATAAAATCTTTTAAAAAATATAGAAAAAGAAAAATATTAGAAATACCCAGTGAAGACAGGTTATATCTTTGGTACCTTTGGTTATATCTTCTGTACCTCCATGGAAATCAGACTGAATTTTGCATGTTGTTAGGGACTCAGTAAAGGCAAATTAATCAAAATGAATTGAAGGGAACTCCTAGTATCAGGTCTGGCATGCCTGCGGTCCCAGGCTACGTGTGGTCATCCGTTTCCGGGATTTCTCAAGATGGCCCAGATGACATTTACGAAGCTACCTATGTCTTTCTAAAAGCAAAAGTGGCATTTGGTTTGTATAGCTTTGGAAAGTTTTCTATATAAATCAATTCTTGAATTAGAAAAGAAGAATCTAAAGTCAGTAGAGGCCTCACCTCCACTGGGGAAAAGCAAACAAACAAACAAACAAACAAACAAAAAAGATTTTTCTTTCCTAATACAAGAATTGATTTATATAGAAATCTGTATTCTCTGAGTTTACCTGGATTGATGGTGCTTTAGGTAAGGGGGCTGCCTGGCTGGACTGGGGAGCTCGGTTCCAGTCACTTCCAAAGTTTGCAAGGCAGGTACGAATAACTGAGGGCAGACTGTGCATCCTAAAATTATGTTCATAGACACACACATGTATACTTGTCACATGGCCGGCAAACACTCATGGAACCACCCACTGGAAAGGGGGTGCAGCTGAGGCAAAAGCAGGAAGGTTAAGAACAAACGAGAATGTAGCCAGTGTGACCTTTCTTCCCAAGCCACCCAATGTGACACTATCAGGCAGACTCCCCAAGGCTCTGGGTGGGGTCAGGGGCAAACAATGGTGTCCTGCCAATGCCCCCCACCAACCTGAAGTCTGCCACATCTAAACAGACGGGCTGTATTTTCTTCCACAAATCTACCACAAAGCAAATTCTTCTCATATACAAAGCATTTGTCAATTGTAGACACCCACCCCCGCACCTTTGGGCTCTTTTGTCCACATCTTCCACCTCCGCACTGTGTGAGCTGTAGGTGAATATTACAAGCTCATTTTGAGGGGTGGCCACAAAAAGAAAACAGAATTTACAAAGAGACACAGTATTCACACGAAAGAGGGCCTTGGATCAAAATTTCTTTGTAAATTTCACACTCGGGTGACATGAGGCGCTGCCTGGAGACCCAGGTCTCCGTCTATGGCTGCACTTGCTAAAGAACCACCAGTATTTTGAGCAGCATTTTAGAACTCTGTGTCCTGCCCAGGAGTCTGGGGCTCTTAAATAACAAGTGCAATCCAATTTCCTTCCACAGACTAATGCGCCTGGTTAAGGGTGCCGCTATCTTGAACTTTAGTTAGTGAGACTGGATTAATTAGGTGGGCGAATGTCTCTACTGATAGACCCGGAGTAGAAAATCCTTTCGTTTTCCAAGAACGGTGATTCCTAAGGGTGCCCTTTATTCATGCGCCAGAATCTATGGTAGGAGAGTAACGGTCCCCTGAGGTGTTACAAGATTTGAAATAGGGACTTGGGGCACCCGGGGGGTCAGGGGGAGGGAGGATGTGGTTGGTTGGGCACCTGACTTTTGGTTTCGGCTCAGGTCACAATCTCAGGGTCATGGGATCGAGCCCCACATCAGGCTCTGTGCTCAGCAGTGGAATTTGCTTGACATTCTCTCTCTCTCTCCTTCTGCACCTCCCTACTGTGTGCTTTCTCTCTCTCAAATAAATAAATAAATCTTGAAAAAAAAAAAAAAAAAAGAAGGCAGGGCTCCTGACCATATTTATGGCCAGAAGGTCATCCTAGCAACACTAGGACCATTCTTTTCTAAGCAAGGTCCAGAGCACTGGCTTTGTACATGCATGAGGAGAATAATAAGACTTCCTTTTGACCTGGTCCCACAGCTACCTTCCACCTGTCACTCGGGTCTCATGCAAAAAAGGAAGATATGATATGAAAAGTGTCATATTTGATTCTGAACTCCTCTGGAAAAAAAAGGTGAAAATGACTTTCTTTTTTTTTTTTAATAAAGATTTTATTTATTTATTTGACAGACAGAGATCGCAAGTAGGCAGAGAGGCAGGCAGAGAGAGAGGGGGGAGCAGGCTCCCTGTTGAGCAGAGAACCTGATGTGGGGCTCGATCCCAGGACCCTGGGATCATGACCTGAGCCGAAGGCAGAGGCATTAATCCACTGAGCCACCCAGGTGCCTGAAAATGACTTTCTTTAAATAAAGGTTTTATTTATTTGAGAAAGAGAAAGCGGGGAGAGGAGCATAGGGAAGGGGACAAGCAGACTCCAAGCTGACCGTGGAGCCCAACTCCAGGCTTGATCCTATGACCCTGAGATCATGATCTGAGCTAAAATCAAGGGCTGGATGCTTGATCGACTGAGCCACCCAGGTGCCCCTGAAAATTATTTTTTAAGTAGAATATGTTACCAAAGAGTTTGAAACCCTGCAAAACATTTGGTTTGATGCAATGCACACAGGTACCGTGTAACTGATGTGTCGAGAAATGCAGATACCCCGCTGGTTAAAATGTAACTGTACTGATGCTCAGGGCCCATTTGCTGTTGGTTCTGGAAACCCTCTGGTGACAAAAAAATACCCTCACACTTGATCTCTCCCTCTGACTGACTCAGCAGAGAAAGTCTACATTGTGAGTTTCTCAAGAATACCAATACTTCCCATTTGTAACATAATACCTGACTCCAGCCTCCTGCCTTACTAATAATTCCTCCATCCATTCTGTTCTTTTTAAAAGATTTTATCTATTTATTTGACAGAGAGACAGAGAGAGAGACAGAGAGAGAGAGAGAGAGAGAGACAGCGAGAGAGGGAACACTAGCAGGGGGAGTGGGTGAGGGAGAAGCAGGCTTCCTGCTGAGCAGGGAGCCTGATGTGGGGCTCCATCCCAGGACCCTGGGATCATGACTGAAGCTGAAGGCAGACACCCAGCCATCTGAGCCACACAGGCGCCCCTATTCTCTGTTCTTGATGGTGAATTCTACAACTCTCTGAGGCATATGGACCTTGTATTTTTGACCCCATTTTAGAGATAAGGAAACTGAGGCTCACAATGTTTAAGAA